CCCTGCCTATGGCAGGGGGGTTGGAACAAAATGATGTCTAAGGTCCCTTCCAACCCAAACCATTCTGGGATTCTATCATTCTCTGGACATTTCTCACCAAATTTCTCAGAGCTCGGTGCAGTGTGCAACTATGCTTACTTAGAGATTACCTCCAGACAGCTCTACAGTCTGCTAGACTTTTCAGTAAAAGGCAGAGCAACTCTTTACTCATAGAGATATTATACGTTGAAACATCACAGAAATTTTAGTAAGTGGCTAGGATATTTCAGTGTTACTGCATCCATTCTAATCTTGCCTGGTTAAGAAATCTTTCTCTCTAGTGTACTCATTTATCTCCTAATACTGAGTTTAGTAGGGTTACTAACCTGTACTAATCATAAATGTCTAAGCTCAGCATATCTTCATTTGTAGTTGTTCCTCCTCCAAGACCGTATCATTATCTGGTTTGTTAAGGGTCTACTAAAAAGTGGACAAGACAAGGTTTTAATCAAATGTAAGCAGTAACAACAGGTTTTATTCAAAACTTCCAGTAAAGAGGACCCACTAGTTTTGGAATAAAGGTACTTAAAGTACTACAGTTTACGTGAATATAAAAGATAAAAGAGAAGAAAATAAACCAAGCAGTAAAAAAAATAAAAATTAAAAATATATATATTTTTTAAAAGTTTGAAATAGACCCATACAAGGATTTCAAAGTCCTCCAAACAATTAACAGTTACTAGGTTTGGCAAAACAAGATTCTCTTACAAAATTAAAAGCCTACTTCTGTTACATAAACTGTATAAAATCGCTCAATAGTTAAAGAGCACTTTGTACAATTTTGTCTTGAAATACATAGAGCTGCAGCCTTCAAACTGCAGGAATTAATCGCTTTGTCCTCTTCATGGGTAAAAGAATTAACCAGCTGCACAATTGTTTTGGGGGAAAAGGAAGAGGCAAAAATAGTCAGAATTAACAAGATGAAGCCACTACAAAAATGAAATGCACAGCAAAACTCAGACCTCAGTTTAAACTAACAAGCTATGTTTACAATATATTCTACATTTCAGTTGTCATTTTCCCATCCCGCTCCCACCTCCCCCCATTCAAATATTCCTAACTCCTTTATGGTCTAAATCTAATTAATTTCTAAACTTTCAAATACACCATACATACATTTAGCAAAAAACATACCTAACATTCTTGCAGCAGTATGGTCAGGACACAGTTTCAAAGATTATTATACAGTTATTGAGATTAAAATGTATGACTGTTTTTTCTTTTAAAGAGAACAGCAATCATCAACTTAGACATATGGTTTTAAAATGTACTGCAGAGAGCCTGCAAAAAGCAGACTTCACCACCGCCGGCTCCTAGCTGCAGAGGACACAGTGGAAAACAGCAAGTGCCGAATGTAAGGAAGAAAGAGAATCTCAGAGTGCGAGCTACAGGAAGATCCTTCGGGAACTCCGTCTGACAGACTGTGGTTTTGTCTCAGATGTCCCCGTTGCACTAAGCCCTGCAAATCAACTTTGCAATAGTACTTTACAATGTAAACTAAAATTCTTGATACCAACAGTATGTCAAAGGTGTGGGGTTTTTTGTTTTGTTTTGCGGTTGTTTTTTTTTTTTTCTAAATCCAACAGTTGGTCACAGAAGTCAAGTATTTTCATGGCTCTTATTCAGCTGCTGCCAGTTCAGGGGAAAAAAAAAAAGAAATAAAAAAAGTATGTGTCTGACTCATACTTCCTTCAAGTACATGCAAGGCTCAATTGTATCCAAAATGCAGGAGCTTGGGACCTTTTAAGACACTGAAGAAATAGGATTATGAGGAGAGCCCATCTGAGTAAGTACTTTATCCAGCCACTGAAGGGGACCATGAAGATGTATCTCTATCCAGCATGGAGTGCTCGTTACATCTTGGCGATGATATTCAGCTCCCCAACCCTGGAAACAGAATCATAAGTGGGGAAAGAAAAAAAAAAATCACCTTATTTTATAATATCAAATACATGAGAAGCACACGTCAATTATCTTCTTTCTTACCAAAAAATAATCTAGCTTTCAACAGTGCTTATCAGCAGGGTAGCAGAACACCCTTGATGCACTAACTATAGTCACATTTCAACAAACAAATCCGAAGTAAAAATAAATCAATAAATTTGGAGAAAGTGTAATTTTGCGATCTCTTGGAACTGAAGTCTTTAAATTCTCAAAGACATAACTTGTGGCAGTGCAGAATTTCCCCATACCTCACTGCCAGCTGCATGATGACCCAATAAAAGCCTCTGAAGTGGGGGGGAATAATCAAGTCTTCTCTGCCAAGACCAAAAATAGAACAAATTGAGGGGAAATGCTGCCAAACAGATCAACATATTAAAAACCAAGGTCACAGACTGACATTATGGAAGTGGGGGTGAGGCATCTGTCTGACAAGAACCAAAGCATCATTCGCAGGATGGATACAATAAACCAAGCAATAAGTCTGAATCATTCCTCTTTGGAGAAAGAGGGCATGGTCACTCCCCAGTAGGCTTTCTCCAGTTAAGACAAGATAGGCTTTGTTTCAGCTTACACCCGATTCAGTTCCAGTAATTACCAATCATATAAGCAGATATTTAAACAGCATTCAAAATCATTTTGTACATGAACCATTTTTGGAGCAGGTCTGGAGACCAGACTAAGATAGCTGCAGGTACAGTTGGGTCTGCTCTATACGAACCCCTAATGAAGGGACTACCCAGCTTCCAGCACAGGTGGCAGCAGCTCTGGACACTATGCAGCACAACATCCAGTAAGCAGGAGGTCCTGTGCAACTGTTCAGACAACGCTACAGGATGCAGAGCTTTAAACAACCTATTCCATTTCACAAATCTCTGTCCTAACACATCTGTAAGCTTCTATCCTGCTCTCAAGAGCGCTTCAGCATACTACCATCTTCATTTGACTACTTTCATTTATGTGACCAGCCCTTTTATATCAGTACACACGTTACACTCATAGCCACATCACAGATCGTGACCTTGCGTGCACCCCTAGGATACAAAGGTACTCATATTATTCCAAATAATTACTGCAGCTCCTCACTTGGGAGCTGCTGGTCAAGACAGACGTAGAGGACTACGCTAGCTACGTTACCACAACCGTTATAATGACGCACACTGCAGTCCCAGCTCACCTCTCCAAAAAGGCCACCTAGAAGCACAAAGTTCAGCTGGGCCTCTTACAGAGCAGGAGATGGCATGGACCACAATAATGGGAAAAAAAAGGGCAAAAGCTGATGGATGTAATGAATTGGTGGCTTTTCCACTTTTAGACCAAGTATTTCATGACTCAATACTTTTCAAAACTTACTTGTACCACATTTTTGCCATATGCCTCAAAATTAGAAAGACAAGCCCCATAATTCCAGAGTAAATATGCAAATAATTTTAGACACACATGCACGATCCAGACACACATTAAATACAACGATCCAACTGAAACACTAAATTTACAAGAGGCAATTCAATGAAATTAGAACAGATAACAGACATGATAGAAATGCTTCACAAGTGACTAGAGACTTATGTGAAAAAACACCTTCTGCAAGTCACCTCAAGCTTTCAAAGTACGTGCATCAGAAGAGGTTTTTGTCCACAGACAACTTCATTTCATTAAGATTTGTCTTACACTTAACAAACATGATTCCATAAATTCAACAGCTATTAACAGGTTGATGGAGGGAATCAATGTATCATTCAAAATCACCACACTACAAAAAAATAATCTACTTTGCTTACAAAATAATCTCAAGCAAATTTTCACATACCTTTACAAAACTCATACGGAGAGTGCACATCTTAGTAAGCTCATACACCGTCTCAAAGCCATGATTCACGGACTGAGCCAAAAGCTGAGCAAACTCTTGATTGTTGAAAATCTTCAAACTGCAACCACTAGGGATTTTACAGACTGTGGTGGGGTGGAACCCATGATGGTAGTTGCAGTTCCGACTTTGCACAAAAATGCTGCTGTCGCTAAGGCATTCAGCGTACACTTCCCCACCAACATAATAGAGATGAACACCTGAGGGAAGGTTGACACTGGGGTTAGATGAAGTCACACTGCATATCTTTTTCATGCTGTCTCCACAGAGATATGTTTCTGCTTAAAGAGATAAACCTCAACTGCAAACCAGATCATCATCTGTGTGTCTTGAAACTTGATTTTTACTTTTCTGTTTCATCAGTAGGTGATTTGAAAGGAGGGTGTATAGTATGTATAGATAAACGAAATCAGTATTTCCTCCATTTTAACATGTTGTAACTTCAACAACAATAAATTAGCAAGCACTGCAGTAGTTTTGATGCAGTACATTTGGATGGCTTGACTGTATGAACCTGTTTCTCATTGTATTTATGTAAAAATAATTGGGAATGCAAAGAGAGAGCAGAAACCTACTGCATGATTTGTAGATAATAACGCAGCCCCAGGCTGGATTCTCTGGTCAAAGTCCTGAATGGTGTTTTGGGTAGCATGAGCTGCATGATTTGTAGATAATAACGCAGCCCCAGGCTGGATTCTCTGGTCAAAGTCCTGAATGCTCTTTTGGGTAGCATGAGCCTTTTCCGTTTAATTCCAGAAAGCTGGAAAAATAAAATGGCCTTTATATTCCTCAGATGTATCTGTCAAATGAGGGTTCACACCAATTTTACAGTTCTTTCTCCTTCTACTGCCTGCTCCCCCACACCTGTCTCTGATGGCAGCAAGCCCCAGAAGGGCAACATACAGGGAACATTTGTGGAGATTTGCTGCAAATAGGACTCAATTCCAAAGGCTTTGAGAAAGCAAGAAAATTTGCCTTTTATATTTAAAAATGGGTTATTTGCTGTTTAAGCCTTTCAATGTCCTGACTCAGAGAAGTGAATATATAGAATTTGAAAACTAAATTGAAGTCCAGTCAGAAAGCATTGACTCGACCAGATTTTGCCACTGACTATGTACGTACCTTTGTGGGTACACATATACCCCCACCTGATCTGCAAAACCATTTATGGCTATGCCTTCAAATTTGGGCTTTACTCCTCCTTCTTCAAAGACTAACAGTTCTACATCATCATTAGTTGCATACATTTACTTATTCAGCAGCATCCTTGTCTCTTCCACTCTGCTTTGGTGCATATGCAGTTAAGTGTTTCAGCAGAACTCTGCTTGCAGCTGGGCTACTTTTAGCAGGAAAATGAATGAGGTGTTAAATAAATATCCTGATACTTGGGAAGATGGATGGGGAGGAAAAGAAGGAAGAAGTATTAGGACATGAGTGGCTCAGCACAGGTGTGGTGCACTGCTGAGAGCTGCTCAAGTCCTCATGTAGAGAAAAGCTCTCCAGACTGGGCTCAAACTGGAAGACCTGACAGTTCTCTTCAGTTTCAATTCTTTCCTCCTCTAAGGAGGAGGAAGATACTTCATTAATTGGCACATACACTCCACTACTTGGGCATGCTGAACCCTCAACTGTTTCAAAAAATTTAGAGTTTACCAATAATGTAAACACCTAAAAAATTGTCTGTCAGGAATACCCCACTGCAGGGGGCAATGCCAATTTTGACGGTCATCTGCATTATAGGCAAGGTCTCAGAAAACAGGACTGTATTAAGTCAGACATAAAACAGAAGCTTTTCTCTTTTGCAGGACACTCTCACAGCCATCAAAGATAAACACAAATTTCCCACAAAGCATCACCAGGCTGTGAAAAATGCATTTGGAAAAACTGTTTTAGCAGGTTGTCTCTCTAAATACCTGTTAGGATAGCTCATTTATGTTGGAATTAAGACTAGCTAAAAATTTAGATTTCTATGTACACCAATAATCAAGATAAATCAAGACATTTAATTAGACAAACTGCCTTAAGGTCTCATTCTAATTAAGATTATGATAGCCTCTGGGCAATTAAAAATTGATTAAGGGTAAAAGCTTCCTGTAGTTACACATCAGGTAAGAACAATACTTTGCTTATAAGACCTGTCCACAAAATTATGTATTTACCAATACAAGCACTTATCCCACATACTTGGGAAGACCAGACTGCTCTTGAGGCAAGTGGCCCAGGCTGTCACGTCTAGGTGAAACTCCCCTCCTCAAAACCAGATGCAAAGATCCAAAACTCACCTTTGCCAATATGTCGCCTGGTGTTCTCAATGGTGGAGTTCCGGTTAACGTTCGAGAGCAGCCCCAGGCAAAACCTGTTCTTGTTGTTTGAAGGATCAGTGAAGCCATCCACCAGGATGCTGGTGGAAGAAGCATGGAACGCCTCCCCAACCCGGTTATTCAGCTCATAGTAGACAATGGAGCACCAGTGCTTCGGCTCTTCGTAAGCAACTGCCTGAACATCTGTAAAGCAACAATGGAAAGGTTACAATCTAACGGTGCTGGAACAGAGGCTTGAGTAAAGACTCATAAACCTGCAGATTTTGGCTGAGGACCACTGAAAGACGAGCCGGATAAGCAACTGCAGCTAAATGAACGCTCTTCTATCCTCAGTTATTTTTGAACTTTTCATAGCCACAGACATACGATAGAATAATTTCACCTCAACTTTACTTGCACAAGACTCACAAGAGACAAACGTTGGCCACAGAAATCCACAGAAAAGTGCAGGATGCTCCCAGGCAGATACCAAGCAGCGCCCCAATATCCCTGCCACATTTTCTACAACATGCTATGGTGTGGGTCCAGAGAGCAGAGAAACACTGCAATTACACAGCTCAGCTTTCTTTCCAATTCAGTAAATGAACTGCTACTTCAGTTCGTTTTACTCAGCTACCAAACTACAAGTCACCTCTGTGCTTCCTGCAAAGTCATACAGTGACAGGGAGAAACACAATTGCACAAGAGACTGTTTGTAACTTTGGGTACCAAGAAATATGGCAAGGTAGCTTAAATACACAGTCAGCACTCAAGGCACCCACAAAACTTTCTCCTGGGCTTCTTGGGGGAAGGGTAAGAGACTTAAAAAACTAAGAGACATTGACATTTGTCTGCAGAACATGCATAAGGCACATCTGCAATATGAATACATACTGCTTGGGATTGGAGGCTGAACAAGGGCATAATGCGCAGGATCCTAACAATTCTGCTGGACTGAAGAGCAGATTGAATGGAGGAACATATTATTTAATGAGTGCCCTTTATTTATCAAGTGCTACCAAATGCAAAATCTGCAACTGTTCATCACCAACAGAATTACTTGGTGATTAATAGCAATGATTTCTCAGAACGTGGTTTTCCTGACTCTGGGAAGCTCCTCCTCAGCAGCTCCTAACTGAAGCTGGGAATCACGCAGAACACCGCCAGGAAATTCCTGGTTCACGACTTCTACCCATCAAGCTCTACAAACACATGGTAGTCTTGAGGTAACACTTGTGCCTCTGCACAGGGAACAATTTCTCCAGATGATGCCGAACGTCTTTACCAAAAAGTTTCCCGGGGGTGTCCAACAAAAGCATAGGCTTCTTCAGATGGCTCCACTCAGTGCACATTCTTTCAAGTGCCAAATGCAGTCGCAAATTATTAAACTGCCTCTAAACAAAAGGAGGGTGGCAGAGGGATGTGGTTGCTTTGTGTGGTTTCTTTTAAACAGAGGAGACTATTTCACTGCTAAACCTAGCACAGTCAAACTTGCTACTAAGATACCAACTCTGCAGATTAAAGCTCCAACTACAGGCCAAAGTGCTAAAATGAAAATCAGACTGGTGTTACAGGAAAACTTGTTTCTCTGGCCAGAGGCTTCCTTCTCCCAGCCCCAAGTCTTTACTGAAATCAGCGAACGAAGACCAGCATTCATATTTTCCTTTGTTCACAGATTATACCGCTATAAGTTTTCTGACATGTGCAAAATGAAAAAAAGTCGTCCCCCCCCCAACCCAGCAGTACTTAGCAGATACAAAAGGTGGCAAATAATCAAAACCAAGATAACACACCCTACATCAGGTCTTTTCCAGCCTAAGTATTTCTATGATTCTATGATCACTGTGCAAAATGTTCCGGCATAACGTCTACTGCTGACCAATAAGTTGCTTAAAACACTAGTAAAAAAGAGCTCATCTTTCCTGATACCCTAGCATGTTCTATCCTTTCACGTCACTGTAAAAAAACAATAAAAAAAAAACAAAAATCCATCATTAATTATCAGTAAGAGGTTACTACACTTTTAATTCCCATGAAGATGCCAGCAATTACCAAAGTTGCAGCTTTGCCCCAGTTCTCAAAGTCAGGAAGAAATCTTGCCAGCTGGCCATTCTTACAGAATGAATCATATCTCTCTCACACAGATTTCATACTAACTTCCTTACATTTGCTTTAAGTCATGCAGAGCAGGTGCGTTCAGTCTCTCTATTCCCAGCATGGGCCAACAATGGAAATTACCCAACTCCATTGACAGGATGCAGCTTGTTAAACCAAATCTCTTAAGACTAACAAATCACCATGAAGAAGTTTGCAGCAAAAAATGCTGCAGTAAGTTCCCAGTAAAAACTCTTCATTTACAACCTGCAGTGATTTTTTTTTTTTAAAGAGTGCAATTGCAGCATACATATACGAATAGTATATGCATATAGTAAACACATGAAGGCACACAGAAGTAAGTTATCTTTTTTCTTTTTTGAAATGAAGAGACAAGAGATGAAAATCCATTTTACTAAACCACTAGGAAGGAAAAATACTAATAGATAATTTTTATTTTGAAATGGTTGAACGTTAAAAAGAAGAAAAATTTAAATCAATGTCTCTTTATCAATTCTTGCATAATAGAATGTAACAGAAGAACAGAATTCTACAGTACTCCTATATTTTCCAAGAGGGACAAACATGCAAAGGACTGCAGTTAGGCATAAACATTGATAAACGTACTGTGGGCCAGCCAGGACTATACATGCACACAGAGTGTACTGGCTCAGTGAGAAGTGGAAATGCTGCAGATGGGGTTTATCACATGCAAAACTCATTCCACGCAGAGAGTAAATAGGTTAGCACAAAAGCATCCAAATTGTTCTAAGAGGGCAAATACACTTCCTGAAACCAGACATTAAGCTTAGCAACAAAACAAGTACAAAAACCAAACAACAGTTAAATTGTTCATATGCTTGTGATCTTGATAATTATTCTGGCACAGCACCCAGCTTGCTGCTCTTTCTTGGCGTGGGCCACGACTGTGTAAGTTTATGTGCTCTCTAAAGAGGCTATTTCTCACAATGTGATGAATGCACTAAATCCTTTGCTCAGCAGTCACGGCTGGCTGCAAAGGCTTTAAAAAGCAATGTGTAAAAAGATGTCTGTGTCACAGCACATAAAGCAATTCATTATTTTTTTTTAATACAGATTTTAAAATCTGTAGCAATGCCACACCTCAGGCAGACAGCTCTGAATTCTGAACCAAGTATTATCACTGCATGACTCAAAGATGGAACAAATATGGGGAAAGAGGGTGGAACAACACAGAATACTAAAAAACACCCAAATGCCCTTATCACCAGGAGAATGGTAAACTATTAAAAGCAGAGCATAGTCTTTCAGGACTGAAGTTTAGAATTTGGGATTCTAAGTAAGAAAACACAACTTTATGAGATATACCATCTCAGATATTCCAGTTGCCCATGTAAAATGTCTCCAGGCGTTTACATAACTAACAGTATCAGCAGCCATCCTCTGATCAAGTCTTTTTTTGGGGAGCTATACTTGGCCATATCTACTGTCATCCAGTTGGCATTATATAGCATTAACTGCACTGTTCCAATAGATCAGTGTAAACAAAGAAAGAGACTCCTTTCCTTGCACATGTGTAATTTCAGCATCGCATGCAGAAGTGCAGCATCGTAGGAATTCTTTCTGTTCAGTGATTAGTGAAAGTTCCAGATACAAAACATAAAATTAAATTTGGTCATGAGTTGGGAGTAAGAAAACAACAAAACCCATATATTTTACATTTTTAAAAAGTCACATGATAGCTTCTTGTCCTAAATAAATATTTACATTTCTGTTATCTACAACTTTACTATTTCATCCCTTATAACAACAGAAAAAAATTACGTCTGCTTTTTTTTCCTTTTCCACAGCTAAAAATTTCCATAACAACATACATCCAATATTAAAACTCAATTATTAAAAGCAAGTTCTGAAAGTTCTTTACTCTTAAGAAGCGAAGCAGAAGATGAGAAGGAAGTGTTTTTACCTCCTCTGTGTATGTCAGGGGGAATTGCGGGTGCCATCATGTTGGTATCCATTGGCTGGGAGGTATCATGGGTCATCTGATCTTCCGGAGGCAGGTACGCAGGAGGGGGAGTATCAGCTAAATATAGAAAAGGCAGAGATACACGAGTCTGATCCCCTCTTTAAAGTATATATACATACCCACATAAACAGTTTTAGCCTGGAAATGCTTCCAGTTTGACTCAGCTACAAACTTCCACTCACCAGAAATGTGAGAAAGTAACCATGGACCTTGAATCAGGAAGGCAAAGAATTACTGTGCATATTAAGCACAACTGCAATAACAAGAAGTCACTTCCCCCCATCAAGCCACAAAAGAAAGCTCCGCTATGTTTCCAGCCCACATTCTTTGCAGGTTGAAAGGGCCATATAGACATTAAGGCACAAAAAGCTCTCATGACCAAGCCAGAAGTAAATATTGAATATGGTAAATCTGAGCAGTAGTTGGAGCAGAAAACTTTCAGTTTTAATGTTTCTGTTTCCAACATGATTCTACCAGCAAAGTATGCAAACATCCCAGATATATCCAGGACTTCATTATTGCCATTGCAAAGCATTAGCTCTATTTCCCTAGACAGAAAACAGTGGAAAGTGTTCAGGAGCCCAAATTACCCATCTGGGTCTGGAATTTATCTGCCAGTGTCTCATACCGGCTGCACTGCCCTGTTCAGGATTGCATCACTAGCATAAAACTAGCCCGTGCACAGCGACCGTGCTCACTAAAACACTGCCACTACCTTTCTGCCCTGTTTGAAGCATCCCAGCCAGGTACTCCCATTGGTCTCCAGCTCCCTATGTCACTTCTGGGAAAGCTTCCCAAACGGCTTCTTAGAAGCTGCAGGAAGTTGCCAATGTCACCATTTCCCAATGCACCAGAGGACACTCTCCCCCGATCAATCGCACAGAGGTACACGCCAAAGAAGAGAAACCCTTGCAAGCTTAGATTAAGCTGAGATTAGATTACCACGGGACTGTCTCTGGTGAACGTGGCTGCTGCTCATCCCACATTTACTTCCATTATTGAGAGCATGGATTGCAAACTACCACAGCAAATAATCACAGGTGCCTCCAAAGCCCTGAAAACCAAATTAGCATCAACAAAAGGCAAGAGAACCATATCACTGCTTTGTAGGTCTTGGTTTTTGTGGGGTGCTTTTAGGGGGCTTTTTTTTTTTTTTTTGAGAGCTTTACATCTAGTGTTGGCAGGGACATTGTTAATTCCCTTACTTGGATACTCTCAGTTGGATGAGAGAGCAGCAGAGAAAGACAGAGATGACAACAGAGCCACAGTAAAAGCTTAACTGTCTGCACTGGAGTTTAAGTCTTGTGTTTTACTCAGCCTTAGATGTTTGTGTGTGTGCGAACATGATGTTAGTGATGCACGGTCAGGGAACAAGATTATAAGGCCACAGGCAATAAATTAGCCAATATCTACAAAGTTTTCAAGGTCTCCGGGTAACTGCCTTTTTTTGTATTTTCCACAAGTCATCCTCTTTCTCCATTAGTGCAAGACAGACAACTGTCCAGAGCTAAGCATCAAGGACGTCAGTCTCTTGACCTCTCCTCTAATTCAATTTCTTCACTGCAGCTGTTGCCTTCTCTTTATGGGCACGCGGATAGAACAGACCCCTCAAAGATCAAGTGAACTTCTACAAGCCAGTGGTCAGGAAGACCTTGTTAGAGAAGCCTTTATCTCTGCTGGAAGAGCCCCAACCACACCAATCATAGTTACAAAAAAAAAAAAAAAGACAACCAAAAAACCACACAGAGGAGAGACAGCTGGTTTTGCGGCAACTTTTCACATTTTTTAGAAAAGCCAATACAAACTCTTTCCTTCCCTCCTGCCTCTGCAAATTCAGTAGTCTTCACTCACAAGAGAAGAATTTTCAAGAGAAACAACTATCTGCAGCAGAAATCTATGGCTGTTAATTTCACTTAATAGAAACCAGATTTTCACAAGTCTGCTGCTCCCAAAGAAAACATGCAAACAGAACATCAGTAAGCACTTGTATGGACTCCTTCTAGCATTTAGATCAAGAAATCTGTCAAAGAGTGCTTCTGCAGTATTTTTATCCATACGCATGTAAAGACAAAATAAAGGGCTTCACAGCATTTTCTGCAGACATCAGTCAACAGAGAAAGAAAGGTTGTTACTTCTTTGACTCTAGGAAGTAAAACAGCCTGAAGACTTCTTTTCAGGGCCTTAGGAACTGTTTTCCAGTTGAAGTATATTTGTTTCTTGGAATTACATCATTATGTGAAGAAATTTTATCAAGCAACAGTAGCATGATCCCCTTGAGAAACATCATTCTTCTACAGAACTAAAGCCTTGGGCAGAATTTATGACGATCTCTTTCTTAAGCAAGGATGATCTGTAGTATTGCACTTCTTGTGCATTACACACTCTGCTTTGTGGGCTAAACTGCTGAACTGGCTCCCAAAACATTTTTAATCCCTCCCGCCCCCAAAGAGTTTTACTTTAATGTTTTAACTGTGTTTGAAAGAGAAAATCCTCAATATTATTGATAGACAAAGAAATTACATAGTTTTTATTACCTTACATCTCTCAGCTCACTATTGAACACAAGCATTGGCTGATAATTTGGTATTATTAGGCAAAAAAAAAAAAATCACGATACCAGTGATGTCCAAACACCTTCTCCCTTCTGAAGAGGAACAGAAGTTGACCATACCTGGCATCTGGAAAGGACTTCCTGGGTCTGAGCTGGCTGGAGAATGCGGGTAGGTGCTACTGCTGCTTCCAGGTGAGTTTGGATAGCTGCTGTTGGGCGAGTGGGGGAACGGGTGACTGTTGGGTTGCTGAAAAGAGTCCGGGAAAGTAGCGTTGTGCGGCATGTGGGGCTCATTTTGTCCCAGGTTGCGGAACTGGGCCAAGAGGCTGTGCTGAGGGTTGTATTCACTGTGCCTGGGAACCAGCACCGGAGGAAGGACTGCAAAGGGAGAAAGAGGGAAAAGCCACAGCGTTAGAGACTCAGTTCTGAAGGACTAGGCTATACAGGGAAAAAAACATATTCTTCCTCCCGTAGGGCAAATTCACATCTGTCTTAAAAACAAGGTAGTCAAATCTAGAAGCGCATGTCTAAGCACGAACTCTTTTCCTTATATCCGGTAAAAACAAGGTAGTCAAATCTAGAAGCGCATGTCTAAGCATGAACTCTTTTCCTTATATCCGGTTACTGCATAGCTTGAATTCACAGCGATGGCGTTAGCTACCTGGTTTGCCAGATGGGAGCTTGTTTTCACAGAGGGCCAGGGAAGAGGAGCCAAGAACAAACCGCAGTTCTGCATCTTAGTTTTATTCATGCAAAGAAATGCTGGGAAGCTGGTGCGTTAGAATGCTGACACGCAGTTTATTCTGCTGCACTTGTGATCCTGCTAATCACGTAATGGCCTGTAACCCAAAACCTTGCTAATAAGGACAGATATTTATTTCTGAAGACAATACTATTACTATATAGGCCTTGAACCCAGCCCGGTCCTAACAGCTGTAATTTTATTTTTAACCTGGACTATGTTCTTACAAGTCAGTATTAAAACAGGTATTAACTCTTCAAGTCAGTTTACAAAACGTGCAATTTAAACAAAATTATGTAGTTCAAAAAAACCCCAACTGACCACCAATTAAGCTCCAACTGTATGCTCCTATGAGATCACAGAAACACATCAGAAACTACAAGTCTCACCACACTCCCAAGGCCTCCTCACCAGCAGGAAACAAAGGCCTTTTTTTAACTGAGAACACGAACGTGATACCAGATAGGCTAAGATAGAAGAATTAGCTCTTTTTCAGGGCCTCAGCTTCTATCTTTGAACGCCACACAGCAAAGTCCAAGCTACTCAAAGGATTAAAAGCTAGTCTTGTTACAGATTGAGATTTTTGGGTGATGGGGGGAAGAGGAGAGGCAAAGGCAGGGAGATCCATGCACAAGGAAGGGGAAGTTACTCCCCTTCACATCTGCCCGGATCCAGAACCTCTGTTTTCCCAGCTCCATTGCCAAGCAGGACTGGAGGAACCCTCCGAGGATAGCCTGCCTTAAAGGGAGGGTACCGAAAAAGCACAAAAAGCAGCAAAAGCAAGCCAGGCTACCATCTTCTCTCCCTGAGCCTCCTGCCCTGTCCCCAAAACCTGATGGGCACACAGGAGAGAACAGGAGCGTGTATACATGACATAACCGTATCGCTCAGATTAAGAAAGGTGCTTTGGAGATAGCTGCTTCACCAAAAAGCTGAATTACAAACTAACTGCAAAAAAACCCCATCTTCATGCCAAGACAAACAGGTTCTTCCAAGACACCGGGGCACCGTTACTCTTCCAGCACTTTGCTTAGACAGAAGCACTCAGATATGTGTGTGAGTGTCCTGGAGTCCAAGAGCACTAGGACACCCCTTGACTCACAGACCAAGCCTGGTGTCTAGGTCCAAGTTCAAAGGGGACACAGAAGGATCCCACACGCCAAACTCACACTCTATTCCTAAAGCAAGCCACTGAATAACTTAAAAAAAAAAATGCAAAGCAGGTTTCCCTCACTCTTTTTTTTTTTTAGAAGGATCCCACACGCAAAACTCACACTCTATTCCTAAAGCAAGCCACTGAATAACTTAAAAAAAAATGCAAAGCAGGTTTCCCTCGCTCCTTTTTTTTTTTGCATATGCATGAAAGAGACATTAAGTCACCAGATTTTTTGCCTGATAGTGTCACTAATGCATGAAAAGTTTGATCCCAGAAATTTTCCTTGAACACATGCTAAAAAAATCCCTCACTACTGAAATTAAGGCTGCCCCTTAAGAGTCAGAAGCAGGTTTTAAAGAGTTAATCTGGTATTTCTCTTTCTTAGAGCAGCTTCACTGAAATTCCAACAGATGTCAAATATTTGAGGCAGATGTCACCCCTAAGTAGATTTGTTTAGATGTGAAAATTTTAACCGACTGCACTTGCACTAGTTCCTGCATTTTCTGAAACAAAACACAACCATCCACCATTCTATGGAAGTTCTCTGATGCACAACACCCCAGGAAGAAGCTGTATCTCCCTTGGCTGCCCAAACTGTCCCTTGCCTCTAGTGCAACTATTCTCATACATCACTGGAAAAAAACACTGAAAAGAACAAGTTACTCAACATTCAGGTGGACGTCACAAATCCCTTCACTCACAACAGCAAACATAAAACCCAAACCCTCTGAACAGTAGGATCTCTCCGAATTAAGCTTGTTCTGTTAAACCAAGCAGTTCTTTTGCAGTGAGGTCAAGCAATGTTTAATTGTCACAGTCAACATTTGCTGGGCTAATAAATTACCAGTGAAAAGAGCAACAATGAGATCATGTGTTAAAAAGTTATTTTCCCTTTCCTGTCTTTATGATTCTTCCTTACTTTTCTGAGCATTAAAAACACAGCTTTCCTATCTCTTCCCTTCCTACGGACAAAGGTCAAACCACTAACTTTTCTGAAGTTAATTTGTGCAGAAAGTACATCACTGACTTTTCCCATCCTCTACCTCACATTAAACAATGACACACATGACATCACAGGAAGCCACATAATTTACAGCATTTTAAAATAGCAGGAGAACAGGATATTTTTCTGTATGTTTTCTGTAATTAAACTAGTGCCAAATTTTTCCCAAGGTATATGCACATGTTTTCTCCTGTCGGGCAGAACCACTGGTGAAATTTAGAAGAACTTGATATAAAAACACATCTCCTTTTCCCAGCTCTTCCTCACACAAATCTATACTTTTTGTCCAACTAGTGCTTCAACATCAAATAATTAAATGCCAACTTCTTCAAAATACACATAGAAATGGGGGAAGGGGGAAGAAAAATACAAGTGATGTTGATAAAGCACAAACAGTCTCAAAAATATCACTGCAGGATTTATTTTGAGTGCTGCCCCTAATTCACATCCTCCCTGCATACATACAACTTTAAATGAGGAGGAAAAGCCCTGAAAGACAACATCAAGTAAGACAGAGACTACAGCACTCCCATTAGTCCAGCTCCAATCCAGTCACTCACTGCCACAGCCTGATCTCTCCGCAGCTCACGGGGTGTTTTGCAGGCTAGCTGCTCCCACCGGAGTCACAGAAGGGTTTATCTGAATGCTGTTCACTCAAGGAATGAAGATGTGAGCAGGAACCAGACCCTTCTCAAGTATGGAGGGATGCCAGGAGTCCAAAATGTAACGGGGGCTGCATACCCCTGCTTGGTCTCCTCGCCCCTGGGCAGGGCGCCGAGCTTCTGGTCAGGTTGCAGACCTCAACCATATGGAATAACAAATTACTGAGGCTCAGTACAGCAGGGGACGAGGCTGATGTCTGTTGCAGCTGCCAGCTCCAGGAAGAGGTGTAATTGAAGGGGAGAAAGCATGAGAGAGTCATTCTGCGCTAAGCCAGCACACCTGTTGCTATAAAATAATGAAGCAGCGCACATCTTTGCTGTGCGGATCTCTGCAGGACGCTGCTCTAACAGTTTGCAGACAGAATTTCTCCCTTCCTCTTTACCTTCTTCAGTGGAAGGAAACACATACAAAAAAATAAGATAAAATTTTTAAAAATTATCATTGTTTCTAGGGAGGCATATATTTAAAGGAAATATACTATTAAATACACTGTTGTCTTAAAAAGCTACTGCAACAGAGTGGCAAATTCAACCTCATTAAAATGGTTAAAAGTGGTTAATGGAGTAGAACCACAAGTCAATCGACAGCTTGATTTCTATTCTTCCTTAAACACCAGATTAAAAGGTTTTATGGGCTAAACTGTGGCCGAATTTTGCTCCAAGATTTTGTGTCAGTGTGGAGCTGGAGGTGAGAGCTAATACATGACTACTAGCAATAACGCTAACAGTAACGGCTGAAGAGGAAGATAAACCCCCTGGAAGCCAGGCTGGGTACGTTTGTGGGACTGCAGCTAAGAAGAGATCCTGTATCTGTCAAGGCAGCCTGGGAACTGGGTAGCTTGTTTTTGCCATGCAAATAATACAGCGTATGCCTGCACCAAACAAGCGGAGCTGTATTAAAGAAATTACATCTATAGGGCAATTTCACCCACAGGGCTATTTCATCTAAGAGCCAAGAATGCCAAAAATATAGAAAAGAGACCAAAGAGAACCTGGCTGTTCAGATAAATGTTCCAACTAACCACACCAAGAAAGAAAAGCTTTTATGAAAATGTAATGGTGGGTTTTGAAGAAAGCTACCGATCTCTACTCTTTGCATCTCCAGCATGTCATCCTGTTCAGAAAACTAACAGGTGTGCTGTCCTAAAGATTTTCTTGGTTTTCTTTTTTTGTTCTATTTTCACATTCCAGAGATAATTATATTAACACACACAGAAAACCTCCAGTATTTTAAGTTTCTCTATTAAAAAATACACCCTAATCCCAACCAAAGGACCTGCCGTATTTTCAAAGTCATATTTTCTATCCAGGTGGGTTCCAGTTATCTTACACAAGTCCAGATGACAGTTTCCCCCAAGGGCTCATTTTTTTCCCCTTTGCATGTTATTTGAAGAATTTGGTAGGTACCTCTTGCCATGTCTGGAAATTGAAAGAGCAAGTAATGAAATACAACAAGGAGCCACATATAAGAAAGCAGACTTGATCATCTTTCCTTGCCAAAGTAGATTCTACCTCTTCTGTGAGCTTTATAAAACAAAATAAAGATGAGCAGTTTCTGCTGCACTTTCAACCATTCTGCTCTCAAAAATAATGACGACTTGGTCGATATATGTTCTGCAAAGCAGTTTGTACAGGTTTACACCACAACTGGGCCCTCAGCCCTAATGAAGACCTGAGGGCACTGTCATTAGACAGTGCACTTTAATTTCCAAGCATCAAATAGCTGTATTTGCATATGCATTTATGCAAACCCACTTATGTTTTACTAGAAAAATAGAGCTGTGGGTTGGGAAGGAGGGATATCCTCACCCATCAGTTCATGCTATCTGGAGATGGGTATGAAAACACGGGGCAGGGGGGGCAACTTGCATCTTGTACCCCATGCTCTAGACAGAAAATCCTGCAAAGACGAAGGTGTAAGAAAAAAGAAGAGCAGCGGTGTTAAACTAACAAATTTCAACTCTCCTAAAGACTCCTAACCTTAATCTCCTGCCTTTGAGGCCACAGCAGCTGAAGTTGGCTGTGGCATCCTGGGGAGCAGTCTAGTCCCACGGTGAAAACAGAGCAGGTACTGGCGTATGCCGAGCTGAACGCGCTTGGCTTTGCTTGTTGTCTGTAGCATTAAAGAGTCACTGAAGCATGCTGACTGAAAGGTCTTGCCAAGATCTTGCTTGTAAACAATAAAACGCCAAGTAGAAAAAAAACCTTTTAATGTCATTATGTTTTCCCATGTTGCCTAAAAGATCTGGAAAAACTGAATATTCTTTGACCAGAGGACAAGTTCTCACATACAAAGACACTTACATGCCTCCACTTAGGAGAGGAGTTTACTCTTAGTTTAAAAAAAAAATTAATAGTGTTGTGGCAAAGCAATTCTCTGAGGATCTAGCTACTTTATGTTGTTCTTATACCACCTGGCTTAAGCAAGGCTGTGCTACAGGCTGTGGCAGTATGACTTTGCTTTACTGTTTTCTCAAAAGCAGAAATGCCAGCCTCTTAGATTTTTGCTCCAAACCTGCTTCTAGTAATTGCAAGTGAAAAGGCTCAATAATAGCAACCCAGCAGCCTGGTGGCAGACTGACAAACATGCCAGACTTTCTATTCCAGGAGAAAGTCGAGAGCCATCTTGTTTTCTCAACTCTTCATTTTATTTTGCAGTTTCAGTAGAATCCACAGCTTGATTTGTCATTTTACATAGCTACAACTGAAGACTGTACTCAAAATTTTTTTTTTAAAAGTGCAAAACAGTTGTTGCTTTTGTGACTTTACTTTTACATCAGACATCTGGGCTAAATACATTTGGCAAGTCATATTAGTGTATTTCCTGCATTACAATATTCAGCTAACATTAGGTTTTATTTGCGGATGCTCTGATAAGCTAACATTTTTATTAAACTGACATTTGTCAAGGCCAATT